TGCAAGCACCAGAAATCGAACTTGTGCCCTGCCAAAATCGATGCTCAGAGTCAGCGCTTCTTAACCAACTGACCCAAAACCGTACTTGACATTTATTTCGCATATTTTTTTATGAATTTGTTTTATTAACAAATTCACTTGCTAATTCACTATTAGAACGAAATCATAAACCATTATTTGTAGAAGAATTAAATTAATTAATTATATTTTTATTTTTAATTATTAAATTTTAATACTATTCTGTTTGTAGAGGCATTAATTGTTGCATGTTTTATATATTCTATCTTAAGTATAGAACCTAATCTAGAAAGGTGATACTGTGAAAGTCATGCTAATGTTACTCCATGACTCGCACGGGCGCGACCAATATTTTGTGAATATAAGTTGTAATTTAACGGCATTTTTAAGACATAAGTGACTATTAAATCTTATTCTATAAGATAGTAATTTAACTTAATTCCAATTAATATTTTTAAATAATTGAGTAACTACACGACTTTCAATCGAATGCGTTAGCTATGCATGACATGGATGCAACCAGTTTTGCGGGACATTAAGGCAAAATGTCTTTGAAGTCATTTGACTAATTTGTCTTTGAAGACATTTGGATCGAACGGTCTTTAGGCATATATTCATGTCTTTAATGACAAATCGAAGCATTTCCTATTGGGAACTGTCAGAGTATATATAGTGGCACTTTGAATGCACACAATATATACGTACAATCAAACAAATAGATTTTCCAAAGACCAGTGAGTGATGATTATTACTTCGCAATATCCAATCAAAAATGCTATATAGGTATGTATGTTATGGATATGTTTCATGACTGTTGCAAAGACTTCATTTGTATTATTGAAGCGATGTCATCTGTAGGCATCATTTAGGAAAAATTAATTATAATTGTTGTTAAATGAGTGTAGCTTCATTAAATTGTGCAGAGCACATAATTTTGTCATTAAAAGTTTTGCTTATAACTTAAAAAAGAAGGCCTGAAACAAAATAGAAAAAGTTTTATTAGTTTGCTGAAAGTAGGTACATTTGAATTGTTATATCTTCATCTAAATACCAAACTTAATTTGAAAATCACAACGTTATAACATTTTCCTTAAACGATTCTCATTCTCATTCTCATTCTCATTTTCTGTTTCTGTTTCTGTTTTAGTGCTTGTGTTTTTTTTTTTTGTCGTTTTCCTTTTGTACAAAAACTTCTTTGTTTATTTTATTTAATTTTTTTTTTTCATTTTCCTTTTTTTTTTTTTTTGGCGTAAAGTTTTTCAATTAATGTCGCATCGTTAACGTTACGTTACACATCCTCTTGACTTGTGCGACATTTTCCCAGCGTCTTCATTTTCTCAACATCTTCAGTTTCTTAACGTCTCTATTTTCATTTACGTCTCGCCTGCCTCTCATTGAAACGTAAAGAAGACATAACCAAATCTCATTTAAATATAAAAATCTTCATCTAAAAGTTAAAATCAAATTTATAGCTATTTTACCAATAAATCTCTTTGCACTTAAGTATAGAAGAAGTTGCAAAAAAGAAATCTTAAAATCTAAAGAGTGCAAAAAAACAAAAAAAAAACAGTAGAAAAAAGTGTAAAAATTAAAGGAATAACAAGAGAAACTAAAAAAATAAAAAATAATATAGAAAGTGTCGCATTGAAATTAATTTTGCTGTGAAAATCTAAAAGAAAAACTTGAACTTTTTTCGTGAAAACCTTATTGTTCAGAAAGCCACTCTGGGCCAAAAGTACACTAGCAAGGCAAACAGAGACGAACTGTTATGGCAAACACAGCATCAGCATCAGCACCAGCAACAGCAGCAGCAGCAGCAGCAAAACAAACAAACATGGCAACACTCACCCAATTGCAAATGCATTTCCGGCATGGCAACGCGCACCTTAATGGCTGCCAATTTTTTTCCTGGCATCCCTCTACTTCTTTTCTAATATTTTTTCGCAAATTTTGTTTGCCAGTTCGAAGCAGCTTAGAAGTGTTTGAACTATACGTCCTTTGCTTCTTATTATTTTTCTTTATTTTCTAGCGCTCTTTTTTTTTCTTAGCATTATTAGCCTTCTAGAAAATCTTTACTGCATACACTAACATAGCGCTAAGTCTTAAAACTAGCGAAAAGGCCAGGCTAGGCCAGGTCAGGCCAACCAAATCAGCTCAAGCCATTAGAAATCCTTCTCAGACGAACCAACCTAAAACACCCTTAATGGTTGCTTATGTATGTGTGTGTGTGTGTGTTGCTATTATTGCAGTTGCAATTGTACCCACAACACTGCATCATTGTTGGCTGCTTGTGTCATTGTGTCACACTTAGGAAAGTGTTTTCCAAATGCCAACAAACGTTCAAATACGTTTCATTTCCGTTTCTGCTGCGCTTTCAATTGATTTGAAAATTTTCCTTTAATACGTAAAAGTTTGTAAATTTACGTAACTCCTATTCTTTATCCCTGCAGATTACGGTATGTGTGTGTCTGTTTGTCGAAATGTTTTACTGGTTCCAAGTTCCCAGTTCCCAGTTCCCATCCAGTAAAATGTGTAAAACAGTCATAAATTATCGTATTGCACCAGTGAGGTTAAATACGGATTTTGAATTGATTTCGTTACTGCCATTTGTAATTTGGAAAAAGTATATCCGCCTTTGGCTGTTGGCTTCAGCGGTTAAATGTGGTTAAATGTGGTTCAAAATAATCACAAAAATTGAATATTTGCACCTGAGTGAGTGTGTTTAGGGGAAATCCATGAGTTCGCCTTAATATAAGCGCAATGTTTGTCTGTTTGTTTGTCTGCTTTTTTTTATATAATTTTTAAAAAATTAATTCTTTTTACAGTTGTATTAAAAAAAAATAGATAAAGTTAATTAAACCATTTAAACAGTTTTTTTTTTTTTTCAATATTATTATTTATTTACTTTATCAAAAAAATATTAATAATTTTTAATAATAAAATTTTAAAAGAGACAATATTATAGCAAATACACTTTTTTATATTCTATATCGTTGTTGAGGTTATGCAAATAATTTCACTATATTAAATTTGTAATAAAATTGCTTATATAGACTTTTTTTCATTGCCACAAACGGGTAAATAGTTAAAGTTAAGTAAAGTATTTCAGCACTTAAAAAACCACAGCAAAATCATTGCGTGAAAATTTGTTTATTGAAGTGAAAATTCAGCTGCTGACGCCTCTGCCTCTGGCTCTGGATCTGTCGTTGCATTATTGTCCATGCGATACAAACCGCAAATCACTTTGCAATTTTTATTTTTTAACTGAAACTGTAACTGCAATGAACCACATTTCGTATTTTATTTTTACAAATATATGCTTTTTTCTTCATATTTTTTAAACAATTTTATTTTATAATTTCTTCATACGACTGATAAAATCGCAACTAAAATTTTAAATTCTATATCGAAATCTCGTATATACAGTCAAACTTCCATCATACTTCGAACTTCTATAACTCGAATTTGCTAAAACTCGTACTAAATTGAGTGCAAAAAGGTTTGGAGTGCAAATTATAAACCTTTTCCTTGCAAAATGATACTTCAAGAGAATTGTGTTTTAAACATAACTCTTTTATTTCAAGAGAAGTTCCTCTGCCTTTTCGGGCATTTTTATGCTTACTATATACACCCTATCTTTCTCTATTTTCAAACCCTAAAATCCCAACTTTCGCAGACGATACTGCAATTCTTAGTACACATAGAAACTTCAAAATGTCCACTCAGAATATGTCACTTCATCAGTGCCTTGTTGAGGAGTGCTTGGCCAAATGGAGGATAAAAGTAAATGAATCAAAAAATCTACACAAGTTACGCTGAACAACATTTCAATACCCCAAGCAAATGACATATAGTATCTTAGCATTCATCTTGTTAAAAGACTGTCTTGGAGCAAAAACACAGTTAGTAAGAAAACACAATTGAAATTAAAGTTTAACCAGCTCTATTAGCCTATGAACCCAAATAGTAAACTAACTCTCAAAAAGAAAGTCCTACTTTACAACTGTGTCATTAAACCTATATGGACTTATGGAATTAACTTATGGTGCTCAGCTTGCTCCACAAATATTAAAAAGACTCAAAGAGTGCAACACTTCATCGCACGAAAAAAACTATTTTTATTTATTTTTACTAAATGCAACTAACAAGAAAATTAACAACACATTATAATTTAATAAATATCAAATTAACAGAATTTGTAGATAATTCTATTTTCTGTGCGCTCGGCCCTGTGCCCAAAGCCCATTTTAACTTAAACAATAGTCCGTTGTGATAACTTGGATTACCCAGAATCCTTTGATTTTGCGCACTTACAATACTGAAAAACACAAATCTCCCATCATGCCTCTTTTACAAACGCGGCTCTCGTTAGCCTGATCACACAGTCTATCGCTAGTCTAATAGACTATAATTTCGCGCTATAATTCTTTACCTATTCTTCCAATTTACATAGTTCGTGGTTTAGATAAAGCTAGTCTGAAATAAAGAAGAGATGATTTTAGTGGGTCAAAATTTCAATCTGTGGCTTTTGTTGCTTTCCACTACCTACTGCAAAAAAAAAATTAAAAGACTGGAATTCAAATTAAACTGAACCAACCAGACAAGTCTATAAACTTAATGAAGTCCCTAACTCTGCGAGATCGATTTTATCGATTACAAAAGTAGTTTCTTCAAGTGTTGAAGGGAAAGTAGACAAGTGATAAGGTGGCCAATATCCTGTCCATAGGTTTAGATGATAACGATTTTAGCACATCTATAAACAGAAATTGAAGATGTGGATAATAGACTCATTACATCTCTTTTTAAGTCTAATTCCTTTGATAAACTATATTATAATAAATAATACTACTTTACCTAGTATTTATAAAAAAAATTAAATTGCAAAAGTAGATATTTTTTGCTAAAAAGCACAAAATCTATTTGGATCAAAGTTTTTTGAAAAAAATACAAATATTTCAGATTTCCAAAACTTGTCAGTTTTATTTTTAAAGCTTTAAAAACTGATTTGAAATTATAGATTTGTTAAATTTGCAACTGCGTGTCATGTAAGGTCCATTTTGCGTAAAGTCTACGTCCGTAATAAAAAAGTAACTAAAGATGAACTCAAATTTAGTATTTTCCAATAATTTTATCTAAACTAGGGGTTAAGGGTTTATCGTTGAAAATAAATTCAGCTTCCTCTCTGAGTTCATTGAGACTTAAGATCGCCTTTAATTTCTTAGCTTCTATAGCCGCTACCTTCTTTTTGGTTTTCCTCAAGCTACCAACTTGCGTCTTCATTATAATCGCATAATGCTCAAAGTTCTTCATACTCTTTTTACACAAATTCAAGTCATTAAAAATATCAGGGCGCTGTTTTGAACAAGAGAAAGAGAATAAAAATATATATATTTTTATATCGAAAATGAAAAACAAAAAAAGATGTTATATATAAAAATAAATTATTCAATGAATTCATAAACTGACGTTGTGGCTGGACCGCAATTTTGCAATCGTATTCTGAAGCGTGATTATGAACTCTTCCCTTGCGACTGGATTCAGTCCAACTACTTTCCTTGGCTGGACTGAATTCATTTTGAAATTTTGATCCTGAAAACTGAATGGATTACAAAAAAATTTACTGCTTGTTGTTAAATTTAAAATTCAATAATAAATTTTTTTTTTAACTATTTAAATCTAAAAGTTTTGAAATTTTTAATTTTTTTTAGCCTACTCGATTATTATTGAGTTTTATTATTGATAAAACGAAGCTATATTCAATGACCATAAAATATAATAATAACAAAACTATAAAATAAAGATAGTGATTTTATTTTAAATGTACTTACAAACTATTAAAAAAAGTTTATACCTTATGAGAAGGTAAAAAGATATTTCATTTTACAGTACTTCCTTCACTTCGGAAGGTAATTCGGTGGTATATGAAACGATTACTTAGGTACTTGTATGTACCTGAATGTTGAATACCGAATGTTACTGGTCGTGTCGAATAAAAATATTTAATCAAAAAAACTTCCAATATCTGAAAAACTTCCCATATATTTAAATAACACACGACAAAAATTGTTCGTGAACGGAGCAAATCCCAGTAAATGGTTGCATGTCTTTTTTAGAAATATTGATCATGTCGCAACTATACCAATTGAACAAAGTAGAATTGTTATTTCTAAGTAGTATACAACCTCAAATCTTTGTTTGCCGGAAGTCTTCGAATAATTAAGGAAAAACAGCTGTCGAAGTTAAATTTGGCAGGGCACAGGTTCAACCGCTAATACTAGCAGTCTCAAAAAATCAATTACAATTAATTAAATATAGGAAATAATTTAAAGACCGCTGATGATGGGTATTTGGCAATACCCGTAACAGTTGTATGGTCAATCAAAAATTCAATTGGGATATTCATTCTGTCTTGCAAAGTGATTGTAAAATGCACGAAATGCAAGAATGCTGCACTAAAGTTACAAAAGTGCGATAACACCTTTGTTCCAGTATTGCATTATCAAAATGAAACATCAATCTAAAAAGTACGTAATACTTCTTATAGTTTTGTATCACATTTATAACAATTTATATTCAAATTTATATTCAATTTATATTATATTATGTTAACTTACTAAAGCATTTTTTTTATAAAAATTCTATTATGTATAACTTTATATAATTAACTATGGTCCGACTTTAATATTTGATATTCTTATGGACTTCCCGCAAAAATACTCTTAGTTCAACTTAGCTTAGCCTTTCTCCTCTCTTCTTATGTTTTTCTTCATCTCTAATCTTTTCATTACCTTATCTACCCTATTAAACTACTTTATCTACATATATGTAAGATAATCTTTAAATATAAATGCTATGTTATATTTAATAAGAATCATAATCTTTAATTACAAATATTAATAAGTATTCGCATGCTTAACGAGGTGTAGCTTATCTTCTGCTTTCAACTGTCACACACGACCGCTTAACTCTAACGTCTTACTACGACTGACTCTCTCCCATTACCCACGTAACCAACCAAAGTCCAACAACATGCAGGATTGCCAGTTATGTTCTTCACACACATATATATATATATATATATATATATACTGCTACTTTTGTTCCACCCTATTAACGTGGTCGTTCGCGATCACTGGATCCTGATAATTAATATAAATAGTTAACTTAAGTTTAGTGTTACCGTTTATTATAGTCTGTATTTTTGTCAAACACAAACACACTTTTCCCTACTAACAACAACATATATCAAAAACTTGTTTTCTAACTAAACTGACATTCCTAGAAATTATATCACCTATTTTATTTTACTAAAAAAAAATATTAATGAAACAGCATCCAAGTCTTGAAGCTCATTTTTGATTATTCTCCTATTAATTTTTTTCTATACATATTATAAATAAAAATTTTATAGTTTTTATTTAATTAATTTAGTTAATGGATTCGTGGAGTAGATAGGGTATAGGTTCCTTCTTTATAATACTTCCAACTTCCCTACCTTATTTATGTGTTTGTATGTATAATGTAGATGAGTGCTATCCAGACCAGATGCCCTCACAAGCCAAAACAAATCACTATAAAAATTGTCGGGCCGTAGAAACAAATACATACGTTCATAGTTCATAGCTGAAAAAAAAAAAAAATACGGTTATAATGTTAAATTTAGTTAGTAGATTTTTAGTAGACTTAAATTGTAGTAGATTAAAAATATGTCGCGGGCCGCACAAACATTAGCCACATGTGGTCCCTATTAGCATTTGGCCCACGGACCTTACTTTGGACAGCTCTGATGTAGATTATAGCATTAACCATTTTAACGTACCTACTATTACAAAGTGAACTTCACTTTATTATACATATAACTTAACCTATTCTTATTTGCTTCCTAAAATACTATACCAACTATAACTTCTATTTGAGTTATTTTACTAGGAAGTCTCATAGTGATTTTAACACCAATAGTGTTTTTCAAAAAAAAAACACAAAAATGTATAATAAATTTATATATAAAATTAAATTAATTATATCATGAAAGAAACTATAAAAACCGAAATATCTTTCCGCGATCTTAAATATTTTTTATGTATTTTCCTTAAGACATACCATATATCGCTGCCATACCAGAGTATATAATTGGCCGACATTTTCTTGACAACCTACAATAATTTTGTTGTCGTTTTATTGTTTAAGTTTAATTCGCACGAAGTGTAATTAATTTAAAAGTTTTACTTTCTTCCTTTACTATTTTCCTTAAAAGGTTAAAGTCATAACTTTCATTTGATTTCCGTTAATGCTTTGCTCCGGGCATGTATTTGACCACAAAATTAAAAATAAAAAGTCATTTTGAAAAATGTTGAACAAAAGTAATTACAAAACTCCATTAGTGAACAGCGCCGTAACCGGAAATGGACACAAAACACGACCAATTGGCTAAACGGCACTACTAAACCAAAAATAGCAAAATTTAAAACAAAACGAAATGAAACCAAACCATACCAAACCCAACCAAACCAAACCATACCATACCGAACCGAACCAAAGCAAAGCAATAACAACAACTGTACTAATGACCATTCTCTGAGGTTAACAACGTACACAGTAGATACAAATACGAATCTATAAGATTAAAAAATATAAACTTAGCACTTAATAGTCAATGTGTGAATATATACGTGTACTTACGTTCAGTAGTGTTGCAGTTCAGTAGTGTGCAGTTCACCTATATATACATATATATATATATGACTATTCATAGTTATATGTATGTGTAAGGTATAAGTATGTGTGCCATTGTGCGTTGATTTGGAAAGTTAATTATTTTTGACCCGTACAGCCTTACAGTGGGTTGCATAAATTGTGATACTGTGCGTAGTGTCTGTTTACATGTACGGATTCGAAAAGGTTAATTACAAAAACAAATTTAGCACTTACTACAGCAACAACAACAACAAAAACAACATCATGCACGTACGACAATTATGCTTATTAAACACAGTCCAAATCGTCTAGCAGCCAATAGTCAGTAACTAAGGTGATGTAATTAAAATGAGCTCCACCAACCTACCTACCTACCTGCCTACCTGCCTACCTGCCTATGTGCATCTATGAGTTACTTATGATGGGTTGCTCATATATCGCAGTCTACGATTGGCTGAGCGCTGTTAGTGTACAATATATTTCATTAATTAATATTGAATAATTTCTAGCTAACAGAAGTACAATTATGGGATTGCTATTCTAATTATTATTGTTGCTGCCTTCCATTGGTATGTTTAGTGAAAAGTTCATTCTTCATTTTTAACCTTATACAAGCTTGTTCATAAAATAAAATTAAGCACAAAGCATCACAACTAAGAGCATAGGTATCTCTCTAAATAGTTATTGTGCCTACTGCACGCATGCAGATATACAAATGTACAGATATGCAGATATACAGATATGCAACCAAATTAAAACGCTTGTAATATCAATGAAGTTGCATCTTCCACTAAGCATCGATGCACTTTATAGTATGTTACTTCATATGTTTGTTGTTATCTTGTTATGTTGTTGTGTGCTGTATAAGCAGCAGAGAAGGACTGAACGGACACGAGGACCACGAGGTCAGGTAGTCATTGAAAATGTCTTTTCTGTATGACGCTACACTTGAACTCATTTATTTACGGTATTAAATATTGAGGTAAGGAAGTGCACACAAACGTTACACCTGCAACAAAAGCCATGAAAGCCTACTAATATGCCACAATCCTCAGTAAACAAAAGTGTGTAGGTATGTTATGTGCATATGAACAACTGTACTACACTACTATAAGGCTACTCGTACTGTTCTGTGTGTAAGAGATTGAGTTGGACTTTAATCTGGTTTCATATGACTTTGTTACTATTTTGCATCATTCCCGCTGCTATAGCTACTGCTGCTGCTTTGCTGTAGCTATTGTTTATTGTGTGAATATTTGTTAGTTGACTGGTGTTCTCACACATATCAACCAACACAATTCAATACCGAAATGAGTTTTCTTAATGTTGGCCTTTTCTATGCTATGCATTTCAGACAGCGTTCCAAAGTAACCAAAAACAAAACTCCATTGCAAACTCATTCAACTTGAACTTATCTGGTAACAGATACGTACGTAAGGTTTTGCATATACAAAAGTCTATTTACACCTCTATACGGCCTGCGTGTAACCAAACTTCTATCTGCTATCTACTATATCTACTATGTCTGCTATCTGCTATCTGCTTGATGTTATTGTTTTATGTTGTTGCAAAGCTACTTATGGTTATTTTGCATCATGATCAATGGTCAGTTATGAACATCACTGCATTTCCTACATGCCAGCATGCTCCTGCACTTGTGCATACATATGCACTCTCCTAATATTTTATGTAAGGATTTATCATAAATGTAATAATTTAGTTATTTCTGTTGCTGCATGCAACCAGTAACAAAAATATTATTGCAGCATAAGCTGTTGTTTTTGCTGCTTGGCATTGCACTTAGCAAGTGTGTTTCTATTACACCCAGCTTAATGCCTTTTCATTGTACTCATTGTGCATAGGGCAATCTATAAGCAAATTTATATCCTTGATCCTTGACTAAATGAAAAATTATTGCTTTGCTTTATTT